TCAGGTTTTAATACTTAACCACTTTTACTATTTTAATATCCATACAAGAGTTTGGAGAGATTCCTTGGGAGCTGTTCGGAGTCTCGTTGTGTGTTAATTTTCTTAAATAATTTGTGTCACCAGGTAACATTTTCACACCCAGATTTCTCTTCCTAAAGAATTGCTCTGTAATGTATAACTCTGGCAAGCTTACTCAAGCCCTACTGGTAAGCATTAATGTTTATGCAACCTATATATTCATGTGTTCAACATTAATTGCATTTTCCTGTGTGTTCAATCTCCATCTTGTTAGCATCTTCAAAATGCTGATTAACACATCCAACAAATCCTTGTTGTGGGATTTATTTTAATGCCTAACAGTTTGTTATTGTGGTTTGAAAAAAAATCACCAATGGATCCAGAACCTTAGCCCCATTCCAAGCTGTGTTACTTGATTTTAACAGAAGTACCATTGACTTCAGCTGTTTAGGTGGGAACATAACTTAGAAAAGGCTATTTAGATCATCATATCCAGCCTCTTTCTCAGTGTCAAAATCCAAGTTACAGCATCCCATTTAGTGGGTTGAACAAACTCAATTAAGGCAAGCTAGTACCTCTCTGGCAATTGGATTTACTGTGAAGCTGCTCTTATGAAGTTGGCTTGTTCCTCTTAAAATTCAATTGAAATCTGCCTTTGTTTAGCATGGTTCATCTTGCATTCTGAAGACACAGGACAGGGCTGAACTCTTTCTATGCGGTCCCCTTTTGGCTCTTTGAAGACTGTTATTATATCCTCCATATAAACACCTATCTTCTTTCTAGGGCTAAACATATAGAATAATAGAATAACAGTGTGGGAAGGGACCTTGAAGGTCTTCTAGTCCAATCCCCTGTTTAGGCAGGAAACCCTACACTAGACAAATGGATATCCAATATCTTCTTAAAAATTTCCAGTGTTGGAGCATTCACAACTTCTGGAGGCAAGTTGTTCCACTGATTAATTGTTCTAACTATCATGAAATTTCTCCGTAGTTCTAATTTGCTTCTTCCTTTGTTCCACCCCATGTTTCA